CATAGTGCAAGGCACTGCAGGCCTCTCTCTGGCAGTGGAGGGATTACACAAAAACAATGTCATCTAAAATGCTTTAAAAACAGCTTTTGCGTATTTTATGTTGTAAAGATGTTACCTGTATTTCAGAAACTGTACAGAAAGCATATACTTTTGATTCTTGAAGAATCCTTACTTAAGCAAAGGCCATCTCAATCCTAGCAATGCAGGACTATCTTGACACAGGACAAAGCAGAGAGTTAATAACTTTATACATTTGTGCAGTACTACGTCAATAAAGCAATTGTACAGTTCGCTAGAGACCTCTACAGTCTAAGGCAGCCTTTCTCAACAAGGGTTCTGTAGAACCCTAGGGGTTCCTCCAGAGGTTGCCAGTGGTTCCTTGAGTAATAACCAAGTTCTGACTCTCAAGAAAGTATGTAACCACCAAAACCAATGACCTTTTCAACCATTTTTAAAGGTGAGCATTATTTCCACTGACCACAAATGTAAATGCCAGTGTAAGGAGGCCCTTCTGCAAATGATCACTATTGGAAAGTGGTCCATCTCCTACTGAACAAAAATCTAAGGAGCCCCTTGGCTACTGACCGCCAAATAATTTTACTGACCAAAGAAGGTAAGGGTGCACGTCTCCATGGACCACCAATATAAGGGGGAACTCAAGGTTTTATTCCATTATTATTACTGAAAATACATTTTTGTATAGATAAGCATTTAATTTCAAGGGTTCCTTGATGTAAAAAAAAAAAAAAAAAAAAAAAGTTGAGAAAGGCTGGTTCAAGGGATAAGGGGTTTGTATTTGTTGGCAGTGTAACATCTTACAGCTTGGTTCTAAAATACACAATGTACAGTTGATTATCAATATAATCTCTAGGATTACCAAGTGACATTGTCCAACAGAGAATTCTATGTGCTCCTAGCATTGAAATTGCTTAATCATTCTGGTGTCATAACGTGACTTCCATTAAATAAAAGAGTAAAGTGGATGTGTGAAAACTGGGTAAAAAAAAATAATTTCCGCATTTAAACAAGCCATAGAACCCTTCACCATATATTACAGTGTCCTGAAGGTGAAGTGTCTTTGACCTCTATAGTTGGGACAGTCTCCTCTGAAAAACCGAAGATGTTAAATTGGGTAGAAGATGACTTGATTCTAACAAGCTGTCTATTATTCCTCTTTTTGTGGCAACTAGGTTATCTGTTGCTTTACTTGGAAAGGCCTCTTCATGATTCTTCAGGTGAACATTAAAAATATTCTGTAGATCCTTGCTTTAAACATCACTAGGAAAAAAGGTACTTGGGGTGTCCTCCACCTTGAAGGTATTCTGCAGTTTTAAAAATTTTCCATACGATTCAAGGGGAAAAAAGATCATTCTAAAGTACAGAGAATTTGAGCATTTTATTTTCCCATGTACTCAATATTTTATTTTTATTTTTTCAGAAAGAGGCAAAACAATGTTTAAGCTGTGCTAGTAACACACTGGGACTTTTTTCTTTTTGCAAAAGAGGCAAATTATAATCTTTAAACTGCCCTAACAACATACTAGGACATTCTTTTTTCTCCACTCAACATCACACTAAACTGTGCAACTATCAGCAATTGCTGTGAAAAGCAATGTGGCTACAAAGTATGACACGTGAGAAACATGGCAAGAAATTGCCAACTGACAGAGCACTGTACTGCAGGACTTCTAAAACCAAGAATTTTCAGCTGACGACATGCACAGCCTAAAAAAAAAAATCCTCTTTCAAAACTCTTTCACATTATTTTGATCTAGAGAGCTGGCAACATTGGGTTATCTAAAACATCTTCGTTTTAAAAACTGTTTTCATTAATATTGCATATCCACGTACAGCATGATTTCACCATAGGGACTGAAAAAAAGAGAATTACATAAGACCCCTGAAAGGGTCACAGACAGCGGTTAGACCACCAGTTTAATTATATGGCGTCCATAAAGCATGTTTGAAAACTGATACTCAATGAGAAACAGAAGGATTTATTTTTAAAATGCAGACATGGCTATATACATATAAGCAAAATAGCTGTCTTTTAATTAACGCAAAATATAAAATGACAGCACTTCTAAATTTCAGAGCAAAATCTATACACTATTAAGAGGAACTTATTTGTTGATCCATGCGAAGCATGAACTATTCCATGTACAGGATGTATTCACTCTGGGCTCAGGCACTCAAGCATCTGGTGATACAGCAGGTGCCAAAAAAGCTCAAACCCCATTTATTCTGATTAAAACGTCAATTATGTTATATTGCGCTTCTATTTAAAGCTTTAAACTCATTACACCTTTGTTCTGTCTTTTGGGGTATTCAGGGCCACAACAGGTTTACTTGAAGAGCTGTGGAACAAACTTAAAACTTTGCACAGAAAGGAGAAAAAAAAAAAAATAATAAAATATATTTATGTCCATTGTTTGTAGAACCATACAGTTTCTGCACATCTGGGGCCTGGTTTTCTCTGCTTTTGATGTAGCCGTTAGGAATCAGTCCTTAGTATTCTTTAATGACCAGTTTGCAACCAATCACAACTCACGATCTGGAAGCATTATGTCCATGTGAGGCCATTAAAGAAGGGAGGGTCTCAGCCCATCAGTACGTTGGTTTGGCAACAGGTATATAAGTGTGGTTAATCCACCTTCCTCAAACAATTCTAGAACTGTAAAACAAGAAAACGCCATATAGCAAGCTGGATTTATAAATGTATGAACGACAAATTCATGAAGAAAAAATAAAACACTAGGGAGGCATTTTATTTCAAGTGCAACTTAGGCTCAGTGATAGTAGAATTTGCCAACATTCAAGAAAAGCTGTGTGCTTATTCGGCACCAGCTTCACAGGCTGTTCCATTAGATTAAACATCACAAAGTCCCATTTCTTTACACTGCTCTATAACTTAGTCACTCATTCAGCTGCTCTTACATTTCTCTGTACGGAGATCATCAATGTTGTATGTTCAAAACTGATTTAAATTACAGAGGTGAAGAAAACTCATACAGATCTCAGTTAGAGATACAAAGCCATGTATACTCGATGTTTCTTTTATATGCAGACATTATAATGATGCATGTTACGTACATTGTTAAAAATAATGGCAGGTTTTATAACTAAATATCACACAACTATGCATTCTAGATTTAAATTTGCTAATCCTTCAGGACACAATTATCAGGCTACTTTACAATACATAATACATCAATTCACAGAGTCGCATTTTTTTTTTTTTTTTTTTTTTATCCGTGTGTAAACTTACTAACACAAATGCAGTCTAAAGACTCTTATACCAGCAAGGAGACCCAAACGCACTTGTAACCTCCAAATACTTAGAATGATGATTTCCATACTTCACTGGCAAAACTTCTGTTCTACTACATTCCATCCAGGACAAAATTCCCCAGTTTACTCAGAAATTAGGTTATGAGATACTGGAAGTGATTTATCTCCATGTAGGTGCTTTCTTAAAGGAGATTTCTAATCAACATATTTACCATAGTATTTCCAATATGGTCTCCAACTCAGCCGTTTATTAGCGGCAGTAGTATGCAGCGGGATACAAGATAATGGTGGAATGGCGAGACGGTGTGTCTTTAAAAAGGGCCCATACTTACAAGTATGTTAGCAGGGGGGTGGGTATACAAACAGTTACTAGGGAGCTAAAACGTATCATTCCTGAGGAAAACGCTGCTTAAAGCAGTCATCAGTATTTGCCAAATCTCGACTTACTTATTATAAAGACATTTTTCAATAGGGAAATGTAAGCCTGTATACATGTATGAGTTGCTTTTTTAGCAAAAAAAAAAAAAAACCTCCAATTTGCTGCTTTTTCTGAGTACATGAGTACAGGTCATGTGATCACAGATTGTACAGACGTGTTGGGGGCATTGTGTCACTAAAGGAAGTGACACTGCCATCAAGCTTCTGCATTCTCCATAGCAATGGAACGCCACCCAGCCTAGCGGCATTACATCACTTCCTCCTTCTTAGGGAAGGGGGGGGGGGGGATGTGTGGATATGGCTTTGTACTGACTAAGGAAGACAAAGGCACAGCGTGCCTGTATCTTCAGCAGAATGACAAAAGACGTAAACTGAACATGCTGGCATTGATGGGCAGCCACACTAGCGTGGTCAGTTTACTCTCAGGAGGAGGAGCAGGATCAACCAGGTAAAACAGGACATTAGAAGGGATGAATTTATTAACGTCATAAAAGATCACTTTTAAACACAAAGAGCCAGTGAATTTTTCATTTAGGATTACAAAACACTTCAACAGCATTTTGTGCAGGAAAGAACATTTTAAGCCCTACTGTAGTTCCTCATTTATTCATCTCACTCTGTCAACATTTGAACATGACAAGCCAAATAACCCTTGTTTATATCTTGCAAAAAAATCCAAAGGCATAAAGCAGACTTTCAAACACAGTAAAATGGATGTTCATACAACCAATACTGATTTTGTGCTCCGTGAAGACTTGTTCTATAAAGACATGCTGCCATCTTGCCCATTGAAGGTAAAGTGAAAGCATAAATCCCAATCCTGTTCTCTCCAGTGCACCACCACTGCCCCTTTCCTTTGTTGCAGCCAAATGGAAAATACCAAGTGTCAGCTGGTGTGAGAAATTTGAGGAAATGCTGCTGTTGTCACATTCTTTAACAATGACAGTTCTAGAGCACGGCTGCATGGCTAGAGAACTGCATCATATGATGAAATCGAAATTTTCTCCATTCCTAGAAGCACTGGGTATTCCTGGCAGACAAGAAGGAGCAGCGGGGGAGAACTGAAAAGGTAAATATAAGGTGATCGGTATAGGGAGGCTTTACACAGACACTGTCACTTTGCCCATATAACAGACAATGTGACAGGTTCTTTTTAAGTAAGTATGTGTAAATTTATGCGACTGCAAATAAACATATTGTTGCCATTAATAATAACAATAAAAAAAAAAAAATCAACTATATCACAGAAAAAATAAGCAACTATCTCTTACCTGAGAGGGACCTGTGTTGGTGAAAACATCATCCTTGATCTCCTCGGTCTTTTTATCCACGGGAACCCATTCACCATACACTTTATCGGACTCCTTTTTCCTGTGCTGAGATCCTGAGGATACTGGAAACTCCTTGGTCAAAGTTACCTGATTTTTCGGAGCTGGCTTCAAGCTGGGATTCTAGAGAAACGCAAAGTAAAATCTTAGTTCTGCAACAATGTTACCATCAGAAATGAAGAAACAAAATTGAACTCACAAATCTGTGTGTCACAGACTCTGGAATCAACTTTCACAGACATTAGAACTGCGGATCGACATAGGAGTATGAATACAAAGGCCCCTTTCACACTGATGGTCCGATCCGGTCCTCCTGTCAGTTTTTCAGGTGGTCACGATCGGATCATAAATAGCGGGGATCATGGGAAAGAGCTGAGCAAGCAGATCCACTGATGGGTCCGTCAAGTTTGAAAGGGGCCTAAGACAGTCGCTCAACTAATATTCTTAATGTGGTATTAAACCAAAACATTTAATATATTACAGCTTACCAATTGTAAATGTGATTGCTGCATTTGTTTTCTTTTTTTAGGCTCTTATTTTCACCTGGTGATCCAGCCTGTAAGTTTTTTTCCCCACAGAACAAGCTGTCCTGCAGATATAGCAGTTTAGGGGGTTGAGATAAACCCATTTAACACTGTCAGGGAGTGCACAGCAGTCAGGCTCAGAGTGTGTCATTTCACCCAAGACAGAAGAAGGTTTGACTTCTCTCAAGCTGAGTGACTTCTGCTGACTCCTTGAAGTCCCAGAAAACGAGACGTCCACTGCTGAAAAAAAGCTTTGGTTCCCCTTTCAACCAAGTCTCTTGGACCATGACGGGTCTGAGCTCCCCTGCAGTCCAAAATGATTGCATTCTTTGAGAGAACAGTCTAGGCCAGGGGTGGGCAACTGTGGCCCTGCAGCTGTTGTAGAACTACAAGTCCCATGAGGCATTGCAAAACTGACAGTTACAAGCATGATTCCCAAAGGCAGAGGCATGATGGGACTTGTAGTTCACCAACAGCTGGAGGGCCAGAGTCGTCCACCCCTGGTCTAGGTCAAAGAAAGAAACCGTCTTCACAGATCCATGTCTGGATCGGAAATTTACCGCTCCAGGAAAAAGCTGGTTTAGAAAGACACTACCATCATCCCTACGACCTTCATGCAAAAGCAAATTGAGGGAAGCCTTCTGAACTGAAAAGTCTGCACTTAAAAAAGGGACAGGGTCTTTTACAGAGGAAGGAAGATCTAAGCCTTGTGCATGTCCATGAGCAACACCAGAAATTCCAGGTGGCTAGTGAGATCCAACAGACATCTGGAGACTGGGGATGCATTTTAGGCAGGGAGTACCTGGGCAGAATGATCCTTCAACATCAGATCAAACAGAAAACCCACAATGGGGACACCATGAGAGTGAAGCAATGCCAAAACAGGGCGGCAGCACCTTGGTGAAGATCCATGGAGCATTGTACAGGCTAAAGTAAACAACAAGAAACTGAAAGTGATGCTTGCCTACCAGAAAAATCACTGGTGCAGGGGGAATAAGAGAAAGTACAAACAATCCTGGATGTCTACAGAATGCCAGCAGATCACCTGTGTTGGATGGAGGGAAAAGACCAACCTGGTTTGACTTTAGAAGTTAAGTGATTTAGAATCCAGAATAGGGGAAATGCTGCCCTTGGCCCCCAGGATCAAAAGCAGGTTAGAGTAGAACCTCTGACACCTCTGAAACTGCATGTGTATTAACAAGGATGACACCTCTGAAACTGCATGTGTATTAACAAGGATGACTCCTCCCAAGGACAGAAGTGTAGCTTTCAGATCCCCTATGTTTGAGAAGAAGGTGCATTTGTAGGGCCTGATGTGGACTGTAGGGAAAGAAGAAACTTCAGTTTGCAGCACTAGAGAAAAAAACTTGAACCCAAAGGGTCAGGATGTCCCAGACCTAGGCAGACACAAGTTCAACAGTCAAGGCCTTGTTAAGGCTGGAAATGGCAGGATCAGAAGGAACCGCAAGTCTTTTGTGAAACCTTTCCTCAAGGGGGTATAGCTGCATAAACAGCTTCAGGGAAAGTTAAACATTTTCAGGGTGCAGTCAGTCATCGTAGATCACTTCCTCCATGGTAGAGTGAATAGAAAAGACCTAAGGCCTTAGGAGCCTCTTAATATTTTTACTTCACGTTAACAACTTTCAGATGATTGGACACCGACAATTTCAGCTACAAACTGGCACACACCTCATCCGCCAGAGTAGAAATGGTGTCCCTGAGATAGGAAGCAAGAGCAACAGAATCAGCCTCCTCCTACTCAGAATCCTCAGACTGAGGATTTATCATCTTTTTCTTTTCTTAAGTAACAAGGTACTTGAAAGGAGAAGGTGGGTAGTGGCTCTGCCCAAAAAGCCCACCCAGGAGTTGAATTCCTCCCTGCATAAACAGGTGGAAAGGGGGGCACCTGAAGAGCTAAGCATCAGATGAAGGGAAGGGACCCTGAAGGGGAATGAATGCCCAGGCTGTCTAAGATAGGATCTCCAGGGGGCATAAAGAACCCCTCATCTGACTTATTGGCTGAAAGCTAGCTTGAAAACCCAACTCTTCCCTGCATGTGATTCGCCATAGCAGTGAGAGGGACCCAAAATGTGGAGAGGGATTAAGAGCAGTCACGTAGTTACACTTAGGCTGCAGGTGTCCAGCAGGTATACCAAGCCTGTTCTGCATGTGTAGAGGAGAGGCAGGGAGCCTGCACGAGGCGGTGTGCCTAATATGGTGCCCGGTTGAGCACAAAGGTTCAGCTGTAATGGAGGCTGTCTGTCCACCTAGGTACCTGGGTGACTGTGGCAGAACTGTAAACTGTTGCAACCGCTCTGTGCTGTGGCACATACAACTCTCAAGGCCGTGAAAGTATTAAATGGACATGACCACATCCTGGGCTGTGAAAGTTTAAAAGGTTAGTTCACCCTTACAAAAAAACTGTCCATGCCATGGGGTGCCTATAGACAAAACCAAACTGTGTAGCTCTGACTAAATTTAAATAATGCCCTTGCTATACAGTAGCTCTCACAGCCTGACAGGAATACTCCCAAGACAATGTGAGGCCTAGTCTTTACTGTTCATTTTCACCATCACAAGTGTGAGCTCTCTCTGATTCATCCTCCCTCACATGTGGTTTCTCTCCCTTGATGGCAGTAGAAGTGAGCTCAGTGTTTGAGAACTCACTCCTGTGATAGTGGAGGTGGGCAGTAATGACTAGTCCTCACTTAAGTGTTCTAGCAATGTCTTGGGAGTATTCCAGACAGACTGTGAGAGCACTGTACGTAAATGGTCTAGACCTATACAAAGGGTATTATTCAACTTTTGTCAGAGTGCCAGTTTGGTTTTGTCTACATGCGCCCGTTAACTGCATCTGTAGAAGCCGGAGAGCCAAAAGCAGGAGTTCACAGCCAGAAGCATGTTACAGATCAGCCCTGTATTTTCTCTCTGCGGAGAAGTCTGGGTACTTGGAGCAGGAATCTAAGTAAGAATTTTCCAGAAAATACCAGCAATATCGTATAGTAAAGAGGAGAAATCTACCAACTAAGGACCCAAGCAAAAACTGAGGATTACTGGGAATTCGAGGGGATATAAGAGGGTCCTCACAGCTCTAAATTGCCAGTGTCCAATCACCTGAAGGCAGCTGCATATAACCAGTCGTCTACGACAAGGCTGGTGTCCTGTACAATTAATAAAATGCAATTTCAGTTTGTATAATAATAAGGCCATTTCTAACCTATTAAGGGGGTGAAAATCCTCCTTTGAGAGGGCTTCATCAGTCAAATGTCTCCACCCAAACAGCTGCGGCATTCCCTCCCACCATTGCAGACAAATGTATAGTTTGAATGGGTTGCAAATGTACTAACTAGCACAGTCATAGCCCATTCACAGTGCCTCCAGCTTGCAAGCAGATATCGCCTACAGAGTTGCAGGCTAAAAGCTGAAGGAAGACTGTGCAGGAGCCTGAAATTGCAACTGTGATTCTCCTGTTCAAAACATTAAATGAAAAATAAATGCACATTTTTAACCTGCGAAAAATGCCCCGTTTTTTTTTTTTTAGTAAAATGGTGAACTTAGCCTTTAAAAATGGAAGTCTGCAGGCAGGAGGAAAAAATTGGAGTAGCAGAGAAACAACCCCATCACTTACGTGATGTTCTGTGGAATCCGCAAGCTGCATATAGATTGGCAACCTGACTATTTAGCCAGATCTTTTTATTTTAGCTCTGGATAGAGTGATGAAGGATTAGAACTTATATCAAGTTCTTATTTCAACTGTGTATTTAGTTTGAATATTTTACATTAGGAAACCTTGCATTTCAATCACAGTTGAAGCGAAACTCTAGGAAGCTATAAGACCCAAATCATGCCGACAGGAAAGGACAGCACAGTGACAGAGAGATGAGCTTATCACATAATTTTGCCAATTCTTATTCCACTGTCTTGTCACAGGCTGGAGCAGGAACAGGGTGACCTGGGCTCAGGTAAAGCGAGTTAAATGGTCAAATAATGTTGGCCATCACACTGAGGACATCTAGTGACAGAAAAAAGTATTGGAGAAGGAATGGAGAATATTTTGGTGAATATTGCAGCAAAAGCTGGTTTTGTTATTTTATCTTTCGGTGGGCTATTCATTCATATTTTGCTATTTTGGTTATAGTTTTGCTCTAAAGTAGACAATGTTTATTATAACCAAATTTGCTAGTAACAGCACCTGGTCCAAATTTGAACTAAAATCTATATATCTGAGTATCCTTAGCATTTATGTCCTCTGGTGCTACTGCATAGATCACACATCGTATGCCCAGCATACAGAAAAGCCAGGTCTTTGAGAAATTTTAGCACTATATCAAATCAGAGTTGCAGCCTTCAACATACAACGGAAGGGGGATGATTCTAAACATCAAAAGCACAAGGTAGATCATATTTTTGCACATTTCAACAATTAGCAAAGCTGAAGAGCAAAGATGGTTACACTGTTAAAAATGTAATTACTTATTCTACACAATTACTCTCATCTCATTGTAAACCTACATTGTGTGTCTCTCTGTAACTCTGTAAAAACCTAATAAAAAAAAAGTGAAAAATATATTTCATTGAGGGCCGGTTCACACCGTAATGCAACCAAAACGCATATCACAAGCAGCGCATTTGTGGGAACCACAGAAGCACGTGATTTGGTTCGGTATGTTTTTAAAAAGTAGCGCATGCATTACTTCTTGTGCAATCTCAGCCCATTCAGTTAAATGGGCTTAAACCGACACAGCAGAGGAACACACAGAAACACAATGTGTTCCTCTGCGATCCTGATATGAACTGGCCATTAATGTTTACCTTAGTACTTTTAATTGTAAATGTTCCCATGAAAATATGTGGGTAAATAGATCACACTTACCAGTAAGCTAAAGGAAATTGGTTTATGTTCACTGACTTTAAAAGGATGATTATAAAAAGGTTTGTCATCTTCCTCTTCATCAGAATCATGGGGCTTATTCACAACCTCATCATCTTCTTTGCTCTGAGCAATTTGCTTACATTTCTGAAATAGACAATTAGACAAAACAGTTGCCAATGGTAGTCACTCAACACACTCCAATACAAGCAAACAAACAAGCTCAGCTTATTTATATTATTTGCTATGAATCACACAGTCTCCAAACTAATTTGTGCAGTGGTTCCAAAGATGGGTACACACAGATCAAAACTTCGATCTTAGTATAGTACACCCTGTTCACTGCTGTGTGGATGCAGGAATCGATCAGGGTTTTTGTTTAGACTGACTGGCGAAACTGGCAGGTTGAACAGCAAAAAATGAGCCATGTGTACCCACATTTAGTGTAAATTGGTGACCTCGGTGCTGCTTTACATGGAGCAAGGAACCTTGATGTTGATTAAACAGTCCGGAGGGTAATGTAATGCAAGAATGCCCTGCAGCCCTTACCTCCATTACATCAGTGGGTAAGAATTTTTTCATTGCTCTCTGTGAACCTATCCCTGGCTTATTCGATTGTACCATGCTATGCTGTTTTTTTCTCTATTTGTATCTGCTTTGCCCTTATACAAATAGCAGAGGTAAGCCCCCAAACTATAATCTTATTAATAGAACATGTGCTCAGACTGTGCACACATTCCAAAGAAGCACTAAACTTTAAACAAGCCTTCAACCACCTCTGTAGCTATAGGCATTGTAGAGAAGCCATCTTCAAAATTCACAGCAGAGGCACTGAAATCACATACACTTTAACCCTTATTTTCTATGTTGGCAAAATATTTGAATCCTGCCAACCCAAATGAAAGACGACTGTAAAGTCTAGCTCACAAAGCTAGAAAGGTCAGCGATGGCTTGGTTTTAAAGTTATTTTACTACTTGTTAAAGCGCAATTACATTGCATTAGAGCACCACAAACCAAAAATGCTATTTAGTATTTTTTAAAGAGAAGTATGGGTATGGGAAATGCAGGTAATTAACTGTGGGAGGGGCTGTAGTCTGCCCTGGCTTCACAATCTTGCGGGGATACTCCCCCCTGCCTTCTCCTATGTTTGACTGATATCAGCTCTGGGCTGTCTGTGCACTCCTGAGGCTTCATGCAGTAGCAGCTGCTCTCCCTCTCCTCGCACAGATCAGATTCTCTTAAAGACAGCCTCTATCTGCATTTGTGTACCTGAATGCTAAGCTGTGCAGTTGTTATCTGTTAACTTCACAGGACAGAACTGCAGCAAAGCAGGCAGCTACACAGTGCGCAGATAGAGGTTGTCTGTAAGAGAATACGATCTGAACTGTGTGAGGAGGAGCATCTATGCCACTTGTGTATTTTTCCACTTTTATGCCGAGGAATAGTATTGTGGCTGAACTCAATTAGTGCTCAGGTGTGTGCCTTGTCAGCAAGAGTGGACATATCTCCCACTGGAGGAGGGACAGAAACAAGGGGTGGATTGAAGTTGTAACCGCCTCCCTCTGAAAACGTTCAAACAGCAGATGAACGGTTTCTGGGACCTACATGACAAATGAAGTGCCCTGCTCTAAACAAAAAGGGAGGAAAGAAAAAACCAAATCATGATCATGGTAACATTTGTTAACTATTCAACCTATCCCAGATTTCTTTAATTTGCAGAGCAAGCCATCCATCCATGTTTCTAGAATGGATGTCTCCAGTTTGCTGAGAAATCACTTTGAAAAAAAAACCCCTAGCATTTCTGGCTGTGCCCACCTTGAGAAAGGGCAGATGATTCATGTAGCATTTACTTCCTGGAATCCATCTGCCCTTAGCTCAGGCATGCAGGCAGGAAGAGACCCCCCCCCCCCCCCCCATCATTTGCCTAGGCCTGAAAACCAGAAAGTAACTGAAGAAATGTAAAAAAAAAAAAAAAAAAAAAAGTTTAAACGCAAGTAAAAATGATATACTTTCTGATCTATTTATGAATACTGGCAGTATAAGAATTTAAAAGTCAATGCTGACTGAGAAAGGGATGCTCCGCTTTGAGGCTATGCAGAAACTTTAATATCCATATTCTGGGTACTGGTGCACTCAAAAGATTTACCACATTAATGTAATTCCAAAAATTGTTTTCTTTTTAAGGCTACAGGTTTCATTAATAGGATGCCTAGTGATCATACCAGGTCCTGTTATGGGATGACAACTGTCTCCCAGCTGTGTTAATGCATACTTACCCTGTCATTTGTGCTCCTGACGGAAGCAGCAAGTGGCCAAACACACATTTCACTGGCATGGTCAACCATTGTCACTATCAGGAAGTAAAGATCTCACAGGATTGGGGACAGGAATATAGGGAAGAGGGCACTGGGGGATTTAAAAAAAAAAAAAAAGTGTATCCAAAAAAAATTTTAGTTTTAATGTTTCTGCTACCTTTCACTCTCAGGTATAAAGCCTCACTCACACTAAACTGTTGAATCTGGTTTTGCTCCAGTACAATCTAGCCTTGCACATTTTGCAAAAAGAACATGCCATTCATGTTACATACTGACTGGGTTTAGCTTGCAGTATTTTCTTTAACAAAGCATATAAATATTCACACAAAATGCATTCAAAAAAATCTATACAAATTTCCTAACACTTAAATTCCCATACCTCTGTGAGTTCTTGAATTGTAACGCCATATGTCCTGTGGGTAATCTTCTCATCTACAGGTGCAGAGGGTGCCAATACTGGCTTCAAGCTTGGTGGTAAGGGCACACCGGCCTTAGCACACATCGCAGCTGCATTAGCTTTGGCTATTTCCAGAAGCTGAGCTTTGTCTTAAAGGAAAAAAAGCAAAAAAATTTTATAGCATGCATATAGAGTAGTGTCAGTACCTAATGTTTAAGAAGTATTTACAAAAGGCAGCATATCTTAAAGTGTTACTAAAGTCTGACCTTTTTTTTTTATTAAATAGCAAAGGTGTTATACTCACCTGCTCTGTGCAGTGGTATTGCACAGAGCGGCCCCAATTCTCCTCTTCAAGGGTCCTCTGCTGTGCTCCCCTTTGCACCGGGAAGAGGGAGCACAGACCAATATAAAACGTTTTTTACCTTAATGCAAGCAATGCATTAAGGTAAAACATGTTTTTAGGTTTAGTATCACTTTAAAGTTCACGATTACCATGGCCAACAGTTGGGCTTTTGGAGAGGTCTGCTGTAGTAAGATGGCTTCAAATCAATTAAATGTGCTCCACCCACTCTCCGCTGCTGATATGCCTCCTGTCACTAGAATAAAAAAATGGATATTAAAGTGCCTCCTACATATGGTAACAGTTAAAACTGGCATCTCTCGTGGCCCACACCTTCAATCCTTACAGCTATTAAAAAGATACCAGTGCCTGAAGAATCTTCAAAAATGGTTTCCTCCTCCTAGCCTTTATACCACCACAGTATAGATTCTGCAGATTTTTAAGGCACTGATAATATCGTCAACAAAATAAATAGCAGCAGGAGAGGTAATTATTTTTGGTAGTTCCCTTTCCTCATACGTCCTTACCTTGCCTATAAATTGTAACATAAATATTACCTCCTCCTTCTGCTGAATGCCCTATTACTGGATGTCCAACAGCAAGCATTGGACAGCTTTAACTTTAGCAATAACTTGAAGTTATTTAACCCAAAAAGGAAAAAAAAAATATTGCAATTTAACAATCCTTAGATGTGGTGGTTGTATTATTATTTTTATTTATTTTTAGGGTTTTTTCCTTTAATTTCACTTGGTTCCACTCTAGACGGAGGAGCAACAGAGACCACAGGACAGCATTATTGTCAATCTGAGGAGAAGGTAGTGTTAGATGGATTTAAAAAAAAAAAAAAAAAAAAAAAACATTAAAGCTGAACTGCTTTCTAAGTATTTACAGCAAAAAGTTTCTTTTGGGATAAAGGTTCTACAGAAAATAAAAGCAGACCATTGTAAGCATAAGTGTTAAATGGTTTGTCTCAACCCTCCAACTGCCACTTTTCCTAGACAGCTCAATCTGTTAAAGGAAGCTGAAAGAACAGACTCACTGGCAGGATCAAGAGTAGAAAATAAAGCAAAGAAAGACCTAAAAAAATGTAAGACTTTGTATGCTACAACATAACACATTTTTGTTTGTGCTTGAATATCATGTCATTTGAGGCCAATGCACCACTCTCTCCTTACATGTTTCAGTTTTAAAGTAGAACTTCAGGTAACTTTTTTTTTTAACCTGCAATGTAAAGAAAAGTTTCATGTGGGGCGTATTTCAGTTTAAAAATCATTGTACTTTATTTAATATTTACACTTTCATTGAGGCCGACTAGTATATTTATTGATATACTTCTGTGACTGCAGCAATGGACCAATACTGTACACAGTTCGCATTTAGCTGCGGGTACAGTAATCCCATATGCTGCTTATGCCTGCCACCCCGGTGGCTAACTAATTTAGTTTCATCTATTTAAATGGAGGAAAGGGGTAAAAAACTTCACAGAGCACCAACAAAAACAACATGTTCTCCCAATTTGACATGTGGATTGGGAAAATAACGTTTGCATCCCTGACCTCTCCAGGTTATTGTCTCATGTATTGCATAACTGATCAAATATGAAACAATATAACAGACAATAAAAGAATATGGACAGCCATAGACGAATCGAAATTTGGCCAGTTACGGCTGAATTTTGATCTGTGGGCAAGTCAACCAGCCAGTCAGGTTTTTTTCATGCGATTATTGCCGGAGGCTATAGTCATAGCCATAATCCTTGTATTCTGTTGTTGGAATACAATTGAGCAGTGGGAGGAATTCCCTCAAAAACACAGTCAGTGTTGATGGGGGAATCAAGCTTTATTTTCCTGCAAACCTCTTTTGGTTGAAGGAAAGAAAATTGCATAATGTATGGCTTACTTAACTTTACAATCCACAACACACTTTCAGTTCAAGTCTATAAAAACATAAAAAAAAAAAAATTCTTACCAAGATCTGTGAGACGTTTTGGTGATCTGACACAGTCCATTGATTGGTCTCTAGATCTTGATCGTTTTCTACGAACAGGTGACCTGCTAAAGCTTTTTCTCCTTACTGGTGATCTTGAACGTCGCCTTCTAACAGGGGACCTGCATGGGCTTATTCTTCTTGCAGGAGATCTTGATTTTTTCCTTCTTGGAGGGGTTCGACTTTTCCTTCTCTGTTTGATGCTATAATGTTCTTTAGAGCTAGACCTTTTCCGTCTTTTTTCATTTGATTTACCTTTGTCTCTTGAGGAAGATCGTGAGCGTGTTTTCCTTTTACGGATTATGTTACTTTGAGAGCGACTCCGAGATCGATCAGATTTTGACTGAGCTCGCTGTTTGTTTTTCGGTGATTTTGGGGTTGGAGATTTTGACTCTGACCTTCTTTTGCAGGCAATAGATGGCGTTCGGGAATGCCTTTTGTGAGAAGTAGATGAGGATCTGGATCTCCTTTTTCTGGAAGCAGATGATGATCGAGAATGTCTTTTGCGTGTTACTGAGGTAGAATGGGAGCGCCTTTTGTGAGCAGCAGAGGAAGAACGCTTTCTCCTAAGGGGAGATGGGGTGCGGGAGCGCCTCCTGCGGGTTGCAGATGGAGAGTGTCTTCTGTGAGAAGCAGAAGCTGAGCGAGAACGTCTTCTGTGAGAAACAGAGCGGGAACGTCTTCTGTGTGACAATGAAGGTGAGCGAGAACGTCTCCGTCGACCTAATGATGGAGATCTCCTTCGGCGTGTTACAGCTTGCAAAGGTGAATGCCTTCGCCGAGATACAGATGATGATCGTGAACGTCTCCTGCGAGTAATGGAGGAAGATCGTGAACGTCTCCTGCGAGCCACTGAAGATGATCGTGAGCGTTTTCTGCGGTGAACAGAGGAAGAGTGAGACCTTCTCCTCCTAACTGGAGAGTGGGAACGAGAGCGTCTCCTACGGGCTAAAGAAAGTGAGCGAGAGCGCCTCCTACGAGCTATGGAATGCGAGTGAGACCTTTTAGGGTCTACAGATGTAGAGTGGGATCGCTTTCTACGAGACGATCGGGACCTCCTCCTATGAGCTGCAGATGGAGAGCGAGAAGATCTCTTGTGGGCTACAGATGTTGATCGAGAACGTCTCTTCCTAGATACAGACCTAGAACGAGATCTCTGAAATCTTGCATCAGAAACTGAACGTGATTTTTTCCTTCTAGTAGCAGATTTTGACCTCGATTTTCTAGTTTTTACCACAGACTTAGAACGAGATTTCTTCACACGTGTCACCGACTTTGAGCGTGACCGTTTTTTTCTTGTGGTAGATTTTGATCTTGATTTCTTTCTGTCCTTTGATCGTGAATGTGAGCGTGCAGACCTGCTTGCACGTTTTGAAGGTGAATCACGTTTTGTGGATGTGGAAAGAGAATTTAAAATATCAGTTTTTAACAAAGACTTGGAACGGGAACGCTTGTTAGAGACTTTAACAATAGGTGATTGTGTCACTGATAACTTTTCCTGTTCAGAAACGTTCACCAATTCAATGTTATCAGAACAGGACTGCACCACTGAAGTGTCACATGTATCCAAAATTAAAGATATTTGCTCTTCTTCTGCAGTTGCAATAGGAGGTGCTGATTTCAAAGCATCCTCTGTTAACAGCGAATGCACAACAGAATCTTCTGCTAATAACAATGAATGCTCTCCTTGGCTTAAAGCATGTGGGGTAGTTATTTCAGACAAAATTGGCTGTTCAAGCATACATTTTGTTTCATCGCAAGAAGATTGGGAAGATGCTAGCTCCTGTCCAAATTCAGCATCAAGAATTGTAGAGGCTGGCTGCTCAACTAACATTTCTGAATTGTTTAAGTCTGAAGCATGAGTCATAATGGGAGCTCTAGATGTTTCATATTCAACACAATCCAATTCTTTTGTTGAAATTATAGAGATATCATTTTCTTCAGCAGAACAAAGATGTACTTTAATTGTTTCTGTGCAAACACTGGATACAGAAAGCTGACTAACAAATTGATTTTCAGATGCAGCAAACGCAGCAGAAGTCTCTTCTGGTGGATCGTTTGCATTGCTTAAAGATAGATTCCCTTCACAAGATTCTGGCTTAAAAACATGCATAGTAGTCTGGTCAGAATCATAAGGCAATAGCTCAGGAGGTGTGTGAAAGACTGAAGAATCCTGTTCAGAAGAATAGTCAGAAATATTCTGGAAAGGGTTTGCAGGCTGCTCAGAATCATAAGGCAAAAGTTCAGGAGGTGGTTGAGAGATAAATATAACTTGTTCAGATGAAGATTCGGAATTATGTGTATATAAATGTGTAGGTTGTTCAGAGTCAAATGGCAAAAGGTCTGGTGGTGTAATTTTACATTCATGATCAATCTGAATATTATCCACAGAATCCTCTGCCACATGTGTCTCAATTTCAGCAGATAATGCAGAAACCTGGACAGACATAAAGCTGTGTACTTTATCTTGACTTTGTAAGGACAAACTGGTAGAAGGTTCTTCAGTTTCTGCAGACAATACTGTGACAAAAGCCTCGGTGCAAATCTGCCCTGGGAATAAAGGTTCACTTCTCATCAAGGATGTGCTACCTTCAACGGTTTCATCAAGCTCAGGAATGTCTCCGATTTTAGGATTGCTTAGAATCTGTTCATTCTTGGAATAGTCTTTATCCACACCTGTCTGCTCAGAAGCATCCAAAGAGGTTCTTTCTTTAGCACTCACAAGAGGGTGCTCTTGGTGAGACTGGTTAAGTCTATGCGATTTATTTTCTGAATGTGGAGAACTGCACCTTATTAATGGTTCATTCTGCAGTAAATTATCAGGGCTAGAATAAGAATTGTCTGAAAGTACTTCAATCTGAGCTGTTAACCTATCTAGAGGATCACATTCAAAGATTTCTGTACTTTTGTCAGTCAGGTGCTGCTCAATGGTATCAGAGTTTTTATCACCTTCAAATTTGTCTGACTGTTCTTGCTGTTCTACACTTGGAACAGCCCTGTCTTCAAAATTAGCATCGATACTTGATATGGTTCTATCTGTCAAGGAAACAGAATCAGAAGCGGCTCTGTCCAGAAAGGGCATACTAGGCTGCTCTGGGCTGATTTTAACAGGACTGACCTGTTGAAAATCCTTGCACATGTCATTAAGAGACAGGTCAGCACTAAATCGATTTTGTTCATCCAAAGGCGGGCCAGACACATTCAAAAGATCAACAGAAAGAACTTGGTTGGTGCTAAAAGATTCTTTATTCAGGCAAGATGCTGGTGAGGAATATTCCTCTTGATTGCAATGTTCTGAGAACTGTGGCTGGTCAGAGACAGTACAATCTTCCACTAGATCCAGCTTTTTTTCAGGCTGTTGATCATCCCTTGTATACTGAATCTCCGGCTGTAGCTGCATTTTGCCTGATGGAGACTTCTCAAGTGATGACTGATGAAAATGACTGGAATGGTCACGCTCTAGATTATGACTACTGGAAGTTGATCCATCCAGTTGGGCTGAGTCAGAGCTAAAACAATGTCCAGTTAAATACTGATCAGAGTCTATATAGTCTTCCTTTGATACCAAATGGGCAGGAATTTCAGAAGAATCCTCAATGAGAGATTTATTTGCAGCATTCATCAGTTCTTCTGAGGAGATTTTATACGAACTCTCACAGCAATCTTCTAAAACTGGTTTACTCAGCTTCGGACTATTTTTATGCTTTTGAAGAAGACTTGAGCAGGGTACATCTAGCAAGGGTCCAGTTGTGTTGGCATCAAAATTTTCAAGCAAAGAATTGTCAAATCTTGAATCAGACAGAGGTGACTGTATTAGTTTATGATTTTCATCAATATCATCATGGCAGGATGACTCATGGTTCGGAGAGAAATCAGAACTTGAATTCGATTTATCACATTGGTTGTGGTTATGACTGGAATATGTTTCAACCAGCTGTGGGTGAGTTATACTGGAGTATGGCTCAATCAACTGGGGGTGTTCTGGGCTGGCATACGATTCCACTAGTTTTGGATGTTCTGCACTGGCACATGCCTGAACCAGCTGCAGGTGCTCTGTGCTGTCATATATGGCTGAACCAGCTGGGGGTGATCTTGACTGTCAAATGGTTGCACCACCTGGGGGTGCTTGGGGCTGGTGTCTGATTGAGCTAGCCGATTGTTCTTTGGGCTGGTATGTGGTTGTTCTGCCTTCAAGTGTTTTGGGCTAGTATATGGTTCATCTAACTGTGGATGCTCTGATCTGGCATGTGGTTGATCTACTTGTGAATGTTTTGGGCTAGTGGATGGATGATCAAGTTGTGAGCACTCTGTGAGGGCATATGGTTGAACCAGATGTGAGCATTCCATGCTGTCAAATGGCAAAACAAGCTGTGGGTGTTGTGGGCTAACACACAGCTGATCCTGCTGCTGGCGCTCTGGGCTGCCATATGACTGCACCACCTGTGGATCTTTTGGGCTGTCATATGGTTGAACCAGCTGTGCATGTTCTGGGCTGTCATATGGCTCAGTCAGCTGCGGCTGCTCAGGGCTGTCATACGACTGAACAAGTTGTGGTTGCTCAGGGCTGTCATACGGCTGAATCAGCTGCGGTTGCTCTGGACTGCCATACGGCTGAATCAGCTGCGGTTGCTCTGGACTGCCATACGGCTGAATCAGCTGCGGTTGCTCTATACTGCCATACGGCTGAACCAGCTGTGGTTGCTCTGGACTGTCATACGGCCGAACCAGCTGCGGTTGCTCTGGACTGTCATACGGCTGAACCAGTTGGGGACAATCTGGGCTGGTAAATGATTGAATCTCCTGTGGGCACTCAGGGACAGTATATGATTGAACAACTTGTAGATGTTCTGAGTTTGTAAATGGTTCTAAGAGAACGGGCTGTGGCTTGGCAATTGGTTGCTCCGGCTTGTGCTCTGAGTCAGCATAGGGCTGAACAAGCGGAGGACTCTCCAAGTTAGCACATGACTGGTTCTCATGTGGACTTTTTGGACTAGTGGATGACTTTGGGCTGGAATTTGGATGAACAAGCGGTGTCTGCTCTGAATTAGCAACTGGCTGGTCCAGCAGTGGATGGTCCGGGCTGTCATATGGTTGAACTAGCTGAGGACACTGTGAGCTCATGCATGACTGATCAATTTGTGGACTTTCAGGGATGTCAAATGACTGAATTTCCTGCGAAAGTTCCCGACTGGCAATGGGTTCAACCAGCTCTTGGCTGTCTGGACTGCCATATGGTTCAACAAGTAGTGGGTGCTCTGGACTGACATAAGGTTCCACCAGCTGTGGACACTCTGGGCTGGCATAGGGTTCTACCAGCTGAGGTTGCTCAGGACTGGCATAGGGTTCTACAAGCTGGGGGTGTCTGGGGCTGCCATGGTGTTCAATCAGTTGAGGGATTTCTGGGTCAGCACTTTTGTCTCCTGGAATTCGGCAGCTAGGACTCACATATGTTTTAACTTGCTCCGGATAATTAGGTTTAGCAAAGCAATCAGTTGGCTCTGGGCAGGGTTCCTGTTGCTGGAGGTGATCTAGGGTGACATGGTGCTCAATCAACTCCTGATGGGAGTGGTCATGGCTAGAACCAGTTTTAACTATTGGAGAATGATCAGAACTGACACAGGAAGCAGCCAGTACAGTGCAATCAGATACAGCACCTGGTTCACTTAGTATCTGGCAGTCAGATTCCGAATACTCAGTGACCAAAATGGGATGCTCTGGACTGGACTGGACTATTAATACATTATTACCTGGACCATGATATGGGTCAACCAATGTAGCTTCATTAGGGCTTATGTAGGACTGCACTGGACTAGGACAGGACTCATGTATTAGGCTGGGGCTGGAGTCAGCATGCAAATTAATTACTGAAGTGCCATCAGTATCAGATGCTGGTAACAATGGACAGTCTGAGTTGGTACAAGATGCAAATAGAGTAGGCATGCCGGAGCTACCCTGATCTGGAGTAGATTCAATCAATGAAGTATTTTCAGATGTTAAACATGGGTCAAACAGTGGGGTATTGGATATATGTTCACTTTCAAGCTGAGATTCAGAGCTCACAGATATTTCATCCTGTGAAAGGCTGTCTGGCATTTCAGGAACAGTTGCATGTGTCAAAGGCAGTTCACTAGGCAGACATTGGTCTGAACTAGGCATAGACTTGAGATCTGTTTGATGTGCAGTCCTGTTAAGAGCTTCAGACTGCAGTTTTTTTAGTGTACACAAGTGATTCGGGTGCACAGGAACTGTCTACAGATTCTCCAGCTGTCAAGGATATATCTAAGTAAACAGATGGTTTATCTGTGTCTTCAAACACAGATTCACGGACAGCAACGTAAGAGGTGTAGCCAGGCATTAAATTATGAGCAGTAGTGGCCACATCTGGAACTGGCAAGTTTGTGGTAGCAGCAACATCAGGTACTGGAGTCTGTGTTGAAGCGGTCACATCAGGTAATGGAATTCCAGCAGCTACATCAGGTACAAGTGTCCCACTAGCCACAGGCACCAATGCTTCAGCAGTAACATCAGGCATCAAATTATGTCCTTCACAAACTAGATCATTATCAAGTATCAGGAATATGATCTGGTACAGGAACTTGAGCTTCACTAACAGAGTCTGACCTTGGTACCTGGGCTTCAGCTGTCAAGTCAGATCCAGGAACCTGGGCTTCAGTGGCTAGATCAGAGCCAGGAACTTGGGCTTCACTTGCAATGTCAGATCCAGGAACTTGAGCTTCAGGAGCCATGTCTGCACTTTGTATGTGTGTTCCTGAAGTGAGGTCAGGTACAGTCCATTGTGCAGCAGCAGCTAAGTCTGGAACAGACCATTGTGCTCCTGGTGCAAAATTCGTCATTGCCCACTGGGATCCAGCAGTGAGATCAGGTACAGTCCACTGTGTACTTGCAGTTAAGTCAGGCACAGTCCACTGTGCACCAGTAGCAACATCTGGCACAGCCCATGGTGTTCCAGCAGCAAGGTCAGGAACAGACCATTGTGTTCCCACACTTAAATCATGCATTGGCCAATGTGAACCAGCTGCTAAGTCAGCCATGGGCCATTGTGCACCAGCTGTCAGATCTGACATAGACCACTGAGTTCCTGCAGCAATATCGGGTACAGGCCACTGTGTCCCACTAGCCATGTCAGGCACATGCCATGGAGTTGTAGTAGTTAGGTCAGGCACAGGCAGTGGTGCTTCTGGTGCTAAACTGGTTACAGACATCTGCTGTTCAGGGGGCACACTGGGCACAGGAATTTGTCCATTACCATTCTCACTAGGTAGAGGCACTTCTGCTAGGTTCGGCACAGAAATTTGGCTTGCTGTATTCAAATTGGGTGCAGAAACCTGTGCTCTAGTAGAAAAATTGGATGCAGGTAATTGTGCTCTTGCTGCAATTGTGGATAGTGGTATCTGTTCCTTGGACAACTTTCCACCAGATCCTTGAGACTTGGCTTGAGATAACTGTTTCTGAATAAGAGACTTCAGTCCAATGCTATGTTTAAAAGCTGCTGCTTTTGATTGGGTAGTTTTCTTTTGTGGTATGGGAGATATGGATTTGCGCTTTAGTTACAGGAGATTTATCTTTTAGTCTGGCTTGGGATCTTGACCGATGGCCACGCATTGGTGACTTGGACACTGAACGCCGTTTCTTTGTGGACAAAGTACCTGAAGTTCTAGAAGATGATCTAGAATGCTTTCTGGAGGATGACAGGGAACGACGCCATCTTCCTCGAGACCTTGAACGATGTCTGCGTGTATGTGACCGTGATCGACTACGGCGCCTTCGGGATGGAGATCTAGAGAGAGAACGTCCCTTGTTTCTTGAAAGAGACCGGTTTTTAGGTGATGTAGATTTTGAACTTGATCGAGAATGTTTCCTGTGCAGAGAAGCTTTGGAATGTGCAAGATGTCTCCTTGATACAGATATTGACCGTGAGCGGCTCGATGACCCAGACTTGGACCGTGTTTTTCGGACATCAAAATTTTTGATGTGTGAACTTTTCCTAACTGTGGATTTAGACCGCGATCTTCGACTACCACTTGGAGATTTTGTGTGCACTCCCCTTTCTTCGAGTTTTTGATTTGGAACGTGAACACTCTGGTTTCCCTGCAGATCTGACTCTTTCTGATGATTTTGAATGCGACCGCTTTCTCTTTCCAGAAGATTTGGATGGGGAATGCTTTTTTTTACTCTTTGATTTGGACTGTGAACGCCTCTTCCTTCCACGTGACTTTGAGCGAGATCGTTTATTTTTAGCAGATTTTGAATGAGAACTTTTCTTTCTAGATGATGACTGAGAGCGCTTTTTTCGAGAAATGGACTTCGAACGGGAACGTCTTTTTCTGGTTGTAGATTTAGATCTTGATCGAGAAGCCCGTTTCCTGTCCACAGATGGAGATCGGCTTTCCTGGGCAACAGATCTTGAGCGGTACTGCCGCTGCTTAACTCCCAATTTAGATAAAGCATTAGAAATGTGGGGGAAAGCATGTTTGATAGCAGCACTGGATTGGGAGTCATCTGTTTGGACAACATCTTGCTGCAAGACCTCTTTGCCATCTGATCCCACATTAGACAAACTCTCTGGTTGTAAAGCTTCTGGTAATAAAGGTGTGTCCAGTTGTTTCAGATGTAAAACATTCTGAGGTGATTTAACATTGGTCCTTGAAGAATCAACATAGGAAGAAGCACTTGCCTTTGAGGAAAGTGACAATGAACTAACTTTAGAACTTTCTTTATCAGAAGACTCATCAGATGTGTTGCATAACTGTGAACTAGCAAGCGTCTTGAAAGTTTTGCTAAACTTAAACTGTACTGGCATTGCTGCTGGAATCTTCTGCATTTCATGAACAACAGAGGTAGATATCTGCTGGGCTTCAGAGGTGTTGGGACAAAAAGACTCAGCGTATGATGCATATTCAACCTGTCCATGACTTTTTGTCTTAGTTTCAAAATCTACCTCTAGATTATCTTTTTTGTCAAGCTTAGAAACAGGTTTGATGTTGATCTCTTCTTCAGTAACTGGTTCAGCATTAATTTCAGGGCCAGAATTTTGTTTGACAGGCAAACTAGGAACATTCAAAGCAATGTAAGGGCTAGCTGATGTTATTTTACTATGGTTATCAGCCTCTAAGTCTAATCCAAGGGATTTTTCAGCAACTGTTTTATCTTCTTTACGGTCTTCATTTGTGTTGGTACAGTTAGAAATATTATCCAAATTCTGATTGTTGTTATCTAACAAAAAGGAATGTCCATTCGGTGAACTACTCTCTCCATCAGTTTGTTCCACAGTTGTCTTAGATAACGTATCAGTTAACTGGATACACATTTCCTGCTTCTGAGAAGGCATTTCCTTGGGGATAAAAATCTTGGATGTCTCAGGACACATTTTTATATCTGGCACAGATTCCTGTTCTGCCTCACATCTCAAGTTTTGTTCTTTATCAGCAACAGCACACTCTAAATGTTTAAGATCTACAAAAATAGCACTTGCTTCAGCATGACCACTAGCTGACATCGAGTCCATCTCATTGCTATCATCAACATGTATTTCATTACTGACAGGATAAGATTTCTTGATATCGATGCTCTCTGGAATCTCATTGCAATTTTTGGATTCATCGTTAAGTTCTTTTGCAAGATCTGCAGTGGAAGACACAGCATACTGATTTGAAGTAGCAGACACACATTCAATGTTTTCAGAGGAACTGTAAAGCGACTGGTCAAGTCCACCCTGTTTAACAAGCTCGGGTACTTCTCTGGAAGATGATGTACCAACAGTAAAAGATCTAGAGCCTAATGGATCAGATTGTCTAGATTTGAGAAAAATTCTGTTAGTTTGATCCTCAGAATGAGAAATCATGTCAGATGACAGAGTCTTCTGTAGGGAAAGATTAAGCTCATTTCCCAAGTGTGATTGGGATATGTGTGTTTCTGCTTGTGTTAATTCTACCTTTGGATTGCTTATGTAATGCACTTCAGTCTCACTTGGGTGTTCTCTCTCTGTAGAAATCAACAAGTCAGCTTTATCATATATACTAGGAAAGTTCTCATCAATTGTTTTTGTGTGATGCAAAATCATTCTCTGCTGAAAAGCTTTTTGCAGTGTTGCCATATGTAATGTCCTTGTTTGTTTTCTCACTGTATGTCTGCTCTGACATAATAGAATAACTCTTTTCAGCCAACAGAGTAGTATGAGATGCTTCAACAGAGTTCTGCAGTACTACCTCATCTCTACTTAGCAAACCAAAGTTAGGAGTTGATGCATTTTCAGGATTTAAATGACAATTAGAATCAGTATCCGCTTGAGAAAAACATTCAGAAACTTCCTCTTTTAAAGTTCTTATCTGAATTTCGGATTGATTATTTAATGAGGATTCCAAACTAGTAATGTTGGTGGCAAGAAATGGATTTGGTTTTACTCCTGCATCAGACGTGATGTGGCTAGTGAAAGAAGCTTCGTGCATAGCGTCATGGATAGGATTCAAATCAATGTTACGCTCATCAATGTGTGAAACAGAGGTATCTTGCACAGTCAATGTACTAGAAAATTCTGTGGAGGTTTCTATACAAGATACAGTAGATGTTGAACGTGAAACTACACTATCATGTCTTTTGAAATCATCATCATTACTTATCGGATAGTTGCTAGATTCAAAGTGCTTCCGATCAGAACACTGGGCAGCCTCTACTGGTGAAGGATTCAAGGCCATCGTACAGGAATATTGATGATTGGCTGTATCAGTGTAAGAATGGTTGCCTTCTGCTTCAAGGCTGGTAAAATCTGAAGGTAAAGAGTGATTAGCAAACTCCAGTTCATTGACCATACTATACTGGTCACAAATAGTTGATTTAAACACATCAGGAGAGTCTTTATGTGTGGTTGAAAAGTTTTCTCTATTTCAGAACCAGCGTTGTCCAACTCATGTTCCACAACAGACACTATATCCGGTTTATGACAAGAGTCCTCAGCAAGCTTTGCATTAAACATCTGTGAAGACTGAAATACTCTATCATTAAAAACTTCAGAATCTCCTGGTGAACTTTGTAGTTTAGCAGAATTAGCCTCTGTGAAGTCCAAAGAGGTTTGGTCAAAAGGCTTGTGGGGTTCTACTGAAATTTGGGTAGATGCAAGTATATCTTTATCAGATTTATCACTATAATGATTTTGCTGGGAATTTGAGTCAAACTGAGTGCATGACAAGTTTGAGTCAGATGATTTGGATGAAGAATCAAACAATTTTTGATTAGCTACTGATGAAACACTGCAGGAATCAATCTCTTGAGCATTTTCACTGGATGATTCTATTTGTTTCACTGGTATATCAGTTTTGTCCAGAAATATAGTTTCAGCTTTAAAAAGCGATTCTGAGGTCATCTGGGGAAGTTTACTTTCATCACTTATTGTTTCTGATGAGGAAGCAGGTTTAGCTTGCTTAACAGTTGAGGACATAGAAAGCTGCCTATCATCTAAAGGTGCGAGCCCTGAAATTCTTACTTTACTTGACGATCTAGAACGCGATTTGTGTTTTCGTTCAACTGATCTTGACTTGTGTTTTAATATGAGAGATCTTGACGGTGATCGTGACTGATTTCCTGTTTTGGACTGTGATGGTTCTCTAACTGAAGGTGAAGTAGACCTAGATCCTTTCCTAGCAGCAGAGGTGGATCGTGTACTTTGTCTTCTAGCATTTGAACTAGACCGTGAACGCTGTCTTTTTAGAATGGAACCAGAACTCGACCTTTGAAGTCTTTCCATAGATTTTCTTCTCCTAGACACAGAACTAGAACTCTGCCTTCTGGCAGGTGAGGTCGGCCGAGACTGTCGTCTCCTGGCAGGCGAGGCCGAACGTGATCGCCGCCTCCTGGCAGGCGAGGCCGAACGTGATCGCCGCCTCCTGGCAGGCGAGGCCGACCTTGATCGCCGTCTTCTGGCAGGCGAGGCCGACCTTGATCGCCGCCTCCTGGCAGGCGAGGCCGACCTTGATCGCCGTCTTCTGGCAGGCGAGGCCGACCTTGATCGCCGTCTTCTGGCAGGCGAGGCCGACCTTGATCGCCGTCTTCTGGCAGGCGAGGCCGACCTTGATCGCCGTCTCCTGGCAGGCGAGGCCGACCTTGATCGCCGTCTCCTGGCAGGCGAGGCCTGATCTTGATCGCCGTCTCCTGGCAGGCGAGGCTGATCTTGATCTCCGTCTCCTGGCAGGCGAGGCTGATCTTGATCTCCGTCTCCTGGCAGGCGAGGCCGATCTTGATCTCCGTCTCCTGGCAGGAGAGGCCGACCTGGATTTGCGCCTCCTGGCAGACGAGACTGACCTGGACTTCCGTCTTCTGGCAGGTGAGGCTGACCTAGACCTCCTTCTGCCAGGTGAAGCTGATCTGGACCTGCGCCTCCTAGCAGGTGAGATTGACCTGGATTTGTGTCTCTTAACTGCAGAAGCAGACCTTGACCTTTGTCTCCTAGTAACTGAACCGGATCTTGACCTGCGCCTCCTGGCAGCTAAACCAGACCAAGACCTTTGTCTTTGGAGAATTGAACCAGATCTTGACTTCCTTCTCCGAGAACCTGAATAAGACCTTGAACGTCGAATCCTGGATACAGAGCCAGATTTTGATTGCCTTCTCTTTGCAGATTTTGATCTTGTTCTTTTATTATTTGCTGATTTAGACCTCTGTCTATAGTTTCTGCTTATAGACCTGGATTTTCTTTGCCTACTTGGTGACCTAGACCTTGTTCTAGAACAGTGTCTCTTCTCAGTTGTTCTAGATCTTGACTTCTGTCGCCTTTCAGGTGACCTGGTTCTTGATTGGTTTCTCTTGACCACAGATACTGATCTCCTTCGATTCCTTATAGACTTTGACCACCAATTTCTTATTGGGGATTTAGAATATCGAGAAGTTCTAGATCTTGACCGCTGCCTCCTTGCTGGAGACCTGGAGGTTGATCTTCGTCTTTGACCTGCAGAACTGGATCTGGATTGTTTTCTTTGATCACGAGAGATAGAAGATGATCTCTGCCTAGATTTAGGAGATTTGTTGCTGGTTTCAAGACTCTTTGGAACCTTTACTAAAGACCTAGATCTTGATCGATGCCTTGAGTTCGACCGTGATTTTTCCTTGGATTTGTCACAATTTGACTTTGACTGGGATCTTGATAATGATCTACATCTGTTACTTGGGTGAAGGGAATCTTTTTCACTGTTAATGTCTAATGGACTATGTACTCCAGGACTTGTTTGTGTATATATCAGCAGAGATAGTCCACTCGGCTGTGGTTTAGCAATTTCAGAAGCCTTTTCAATAAGTGCAGTGGATTCATTGCTTTGCTGAATGACCAGTGCTGATGCTTCACATTGCTCTTTAAGTTCAGTATCACATGTCACAGAATTTGAAGAAACATTTTTACCTAAATCATTTGGGCATTTTGGGCCAAAGAAACCAGAATCTACATCTAACAGTAATCCCATGGGTTTATCTTCTATTGCAGAACTAATACTTTGTGTGTTCACTGAAGCTAGTACAACTGTATTTGCATTTTCTGGCTTGGATGATAAGGTGTCCACAATTCCCTGCTCTTTTGGAGGTGATGAAAATGCTGGTTTCCACACAGATTTTATTTCTGAACTGACATTCTCTTGGTCCTCAACACTCGAAACAGATTTTGATCTTTTCTCATGTTTCTCTTTTTTCTTTTTCTTCTTTTTCTTTTTGCTTTTATGTTTTTTGTGCTTCTTAGATTTCTTTTTTGATGACTCTTTCTTTACCTCATCATCAGAGGTTAATTCTGCAGATTTTATCTCTTTTGATGCACTGTCTGTTTCCAGAGCTGTAGGAAAGAAATTAAACTTGTTAAACAATGTCAAAAGAAAACTTTAGGAAATATTACACCTGACAAAAGACACCTTTTTCTATATACACACAAAAAAAAATTAGATTTATAGATAGATAAATATGGGTAAGGGATAATTCCAGAAGTGAACACAAGAAAGTATATATAAAATACTAGCATATTTAGTAAATATGTTTTCCTCCCTTGCGGTTTTACAAAAAAGGGGATTAAAAAACCGTTTTTCTAAATTCCAAGCTTATTGTCTTTGAAGCAATTCTAGGTACCCCCAGCTTTAGCTCCAATGTCTGCCCATTGCACAAGGACAGCTATGTGCAGAATAACACTGGTAGCCAAAATCCATGTCAAGTCACTCAGCCATAACAGAAAGTTTTTGGGGGTTGCTTTAAACAAGAAACATCCATCAGAATTGTTTTTCTTTCTTTATCCCTCTTTAGTGTTTAACTGAGTGTCTCAATTAAGGGCACGAAGTGTCATTTCTGCTTACTGCTTCATTCATTTCCTATCATGAATAACTTCTGATAAGTTTTCCTGATACCAGGAGAGGAAAGGGATCTCTTCTCAGCCTCAGGTGTGTGTGTGCGTGTGTGGTGTTTGTGTGTTCAAAGTACTTCCCCTTGATTGATTGATTCCCCTTCAATCAGCTCTAAGAGCTCTTCTCATCTCACTGAGCTCTGCAGTGTATAATTTTAGCTCTCAGCCCCCTGCTATCTGAAAGCTCAGACAAGTGTTATAAAATACTGGACTTTGAACAGATATAGAGAAGAGAAGACTGCAAATAAACAGACGCAACTTACATAAAAAAGTTTATTCACTTCAATAAATGGCCCTTTTACCCCCTTCCTGTCCAAGTCAATTTTCAGCTTTCAGCACTGTCACACTTTACATGACAATTACTCAGCTATGCAACACTATACTCAAATGAAATGTTTATCATTTTGTTCAGATAACTTTATTTTGGTAGCATTTGATCACCAATCTTGCCAATATTTAGTTGAGTTCGGAGTTAATTTTGTGTACATTTTGAAAAAAAATGCATTTTTCTTAGCTTCTGTTATAAAAGTTTGCAAATATTTCTTCAGAAACTAGGGCAAGAATGTACTCTGCTATATTTCTTTGGTAAAAGTAATCCAAATCAGTGTATATTATTTAGTCTGTAGGATATTTATAGAGTCTACAAACTATGATATATATTTTTTTGAATATCAATCTTGATGTACAGATGTAGCCTAATTTCTAATTTCAAGAGGCCCTAAAATACTCCCCCCAAATGACCACTTTCTGGAAAGTAGCTAGTCCAAGGTATTTAGTAAGAGGCATTACAAGTTTTTTCTAAAGTTTTCATTCTTTGTCAATTTTTTGGAAAATTAAGAAATTTCAAAAATTCTCTTTTTTCCCCCTCAACTTTGGAAGGGGCCGTACTGACTGGTGACAGTATGTAAAAAAAAAAAAAAAAAAAAAAAAAGTGAAGTTATTATACGATTTTTTTTTCTTTTTTACATACTGTTGGTTCTTGTAATGGGCTGCCTGATGATGGTCATGTGTAACATCAACAGGGGCCAGCTGCAAGAACCAGGGAGAAACACCCAGTCTGTTGATATACTGTCAATTATCTCATGGCCTCTTGGGTTGCATGACATGCAGGAGGAGACTGTGGGCTAGGAGGCTGTGGGCAGATGAGACATTTATGTCTAAGTCAGAATCCCAGAAGTGCATGAAGGGATATATTAAAAAAAAAAAAAAAAAAAAAAAAAAAAAAAAAAGATACAGTGAAGGAAATAAGTATTTGATCCCGATTTTGAATGTTTGCCCACTCACAGAGAAATGATCAGTCTAAAAATCGAATGGTAGGTGTATTGTAACACAGAGACAGAATAGCAACAAAAAATTCAAAATAAATGCATGTCTCACAAATTATGCACTGATTTGCAAGGTCATGAGGGAAAAAGGTATTTGATCCCCTTCACATGACTTAGAAATTGGTGGCAAACCCTTGTTGGCAATCACAGAGGTCAGATGTTTCCTGTAGTTGGCCACCAGGTTTGCACACATCTCAGGAGGGATTTTGGCCCACTCCTCTTGGCAGATCCTCTCCAAGTCATTAAGGTTTGGTGGCTGACATTTGGCAACTCGAACTTTCAGCTCCCTCCACAGATTTTCAATCAGATTAAGGTCTGGAGACTGGGTAGGCCACATCAGGACCTTAATGTGCTTATTCTTGAGCCACTCCTGTTGCCTTGGCCGTGTGTTTTTGGGTCACTGTCATGCTAGATCACCCATCCACAACCCATTTTCAATGCCCTGGCTGAGGAAAGAAGGTTCTCACCCTAGATTTGATGGTACATTTCCCTGTCCATTGTCCCTTTGATGCAGTGCAGTTGTCCTGTCCCCTTAGCAGAAAAAAACACCCCCAAAGCAGAATGTTTCCACCACGTTTGACAGTTGGGATGGTGTTCTTGGGGTCAGAGGCAGCATTCCTCCTCCTCCAAACACGGCGAGTTGGGTTGATGCCAAAGAGCTGGATTGTGGTCAGATGAGACCAAAATCCAGCTCTTTGGCATCAACTCAACTCGCCGTGTTTGGAGGAGGAGGAATGCTGCCTCTGACCCAAAGAACACCATCCCAACTATCAAACGTTTTGGAAACATTCTGCTTTGGGGGTGTTTTTCAACCAGTCCTCCACTGCATCATTCAGATGTTCAGAGGCAAACTTCAGACGGGCCTGGACATGTGCTTTCTTGAGCAGAGGGACCTTGCGGGCACTGCAGGATGTCAATCCTTGTCAGCGTAGTGTGTTACTAATTGTTTTCTTGGTGACTGTGGTTCCAGCTGCCTGGAGATCATTGACAAGATCCTCACGTGTAGTTCTGGGATGATTCCTCACTGTTGTCATGATCATTGACACTCCATGAGGTGAGATCTTGCATGGTGCACCAGACCTAGGGAGACTGACAGTTGTTTTGTGTTTCTTTTATTTGCGAATGATTGCACCAACTGTTGTCACCTTCTCACCAAGCTGCTTGACGATAGTTTTGTAGCCCTGTCCAGCCTTGTGTAGGTCTACAATCTTGTCCCTGACATCCTTGGACAGCTCTTTGGTCTTTGCCATGGTGGAGAGTTTGGAATCTGTTTGATTGCTCCTGTGGACAGGTGTCTTTTATACAAGTAACAAAATGAGATTAGCAGCACTCCCTTTAAGAGACTGCTTCTAATCTCAGCTTGTTACCTGTATGAAAGACACCTGGTAGCCAGACATCCTGCTGAATGATAGGGGATCAAATACTTATATCCCTCATGAACGTGCAAATCAGTGCATAATTTGTTAGACATGCATTTCTTTTGAATTTTTTGTTGCTATTCTGTCTCTAAGTGTTACAATACACCTACCATTCGATTTGTAGACTTACCATTTCTTTGTGAGTGGGCAAACATTCAAAGCAGCAGGGGATCAAATACTTATTTCCTTCACTGTATATAAATTAAAATGTGTTATTGTGTGAAAGGAGGGGGTAGGAGTAAAATGATGGAAAGTGGGTGAGAAAGGTGAAGGTTCAGTGCTGCAGTTCATTTTTTACTGAGAGGCCATAGCTCTGCTTTAACATCTAAAAACATTAAAAGGATAAAA